TACATGCTGCAGATATAATTCGCCGGTTACACCCGCAATTCTCACGAGTCCACAGCGACTCGCGGGAAGAAATCTGAACGGTTCAAGCATGATGGCGCATAGCTGAGTGTGACATCAGTGCTCTGTTTATTTGCGCAGAGGACCTGTTCCGAAGTGATCGCAACGTGCTGCCAGTATCCGGATACGTCGAATGATGACGGACTTCTCGTTCCGTTATCGTACGAATTCGACGAGGTGTCAATATCAAGTCCTTAAATGGTTCGTGACCTGACGATGTGTCTGCTGACAAATAGTAACCGTCGTCCGCGGTGTATGTATTCACACTGCGTATTAGTGTATACCGTATACGTATACCGTTATACTATTATGATTACCTACATTGAGGCGTGTTACATCCAGTCTAGGACGGACCCTCTCTTGTATATGTAGAAGCTCTTGGTATATTTATGTTAGGATTATTCATACTTACGGCGTACGGGAGTTATTTATACACTTTTGCAAGCGAGGCATGATTTGCAAGTGCATTATCTTATTATAGAGGGGTCAGAGTTCGGATTATTCTTCTATGTGGTATTTCTGTATTCGTTTGCTTTGTCTCCTGGGGGCGATTATCCGATATTGGTGGTAATTTGGTTATGAACGCGTGAGATTTATCTCATGTTACGTGTGGAGACGTATTGTTTTGTTATCAATCAGGGGCAGACGACGCAGGTATGCCGCAGCCGGCTTGAACTGGCCGCCGTGACTGGTGGGCGTATGTTGGCAATCATACTCGCTGGCTTTCTGTGTGCTTTTATGGAAGCTACTGCACGGTCAGACAGAGAAGGTGCGCAGTTGGGATCGAGAGGCAGCTAGCCAATTGAGAAGGGTGCGTACGGTTCCTACTCACTCGTTTCGTGTTGTTTGTATGAGCACTTAGAGCATGTCTCTGTTTTTTAGGTACTGAGGGAGAGATTTGCCGATGGGTCTTTGCGTCGCACTTTGGGCAAAGCACTTTGGTTGTGATTTTGGCATGTTAATTTTATTATGCTTCAAAAAGCTGTATTTTTTGATTCTCGATTGATTATATGTCGATTATGGCCATTATTTACCTTCGAGTCTAGTCTGAATCGCCACAACAGTAAACTTTTGTTTTTCCTAGTTATTAGCTAATGTATATTATGTTTATGTTATTTTGTGGTAGATGCTTCACCTACCAGAG